GTACTGTTATCCGTACACATGTCAAAGATCTTCATTGACATTGAAGATCTCCATCCAAAGGTTGCAGGCGACCTCGCAACAAGTCGCCTAGGTTGCTACCGACTCTCCCCACGAGTCGCCTTAACTTTCCATATTCACGTAGCAGAGCTAGATAGCATAACCCTGCCAATTCATTCTTCATTTTACCTACTCCTCCTCTGCGTGTGCCCGGCTACAACTACAGTACCGTGAAAAAGCAGATAAGCTACGCGACCGACTCGATCGTCATGGCCAGAGCGACAGGCTTTATCGTGATGCCAGCCGCCATGGGGTTAATGTTAGCGTCTTGCGTCAACTTGAAAGTGTGGTTGAGCACGAGGTTGGCCACGACGACTTGCAACTCCGCCATGGCGAAGCGCATTCCGATGCAGTTCTTTGGACCAGTGCTAAACGGCATGTAATAATACGTATTGCCATGACCCCCGCGCAATGCCTTGTCCGCTGCAAACGTCGCCGACCCGTCGACAAACCGATCTAACGTAGAGCTTGAGATTTCCCCGTGTCCATCAATCTTGGTGGAGTCTGTACCCAAGATAAACTCGTTCGGCTGAGTCCAATACTTGGGGTTGCGGTGCAGTGCCCCAACGTTCACAGTCGTTACGGTGCCCTAATCGAATGATCCCTCAGAACCACTCGTTCATGTGGTGCAGGGACAATGCTAACCTTTGGCACACGGTAAGGCTTGCCGTCGGCCATGGGCAGCAAATCGTCTTGCATGCACAAACGAGGGGCCAAGAGTGAGACGGAGGGATACAATCGCAACGTTTCTTGGATGAGAGCCAACACATATTTGAGTTCGCCCAACGCGGACCATCCAATTGTCTTGCCGTGCTTGGCTGCAGCTTGGCGACACTCTGCTCGGACCGTCGCTTCGGCTGTGGGGTGTGTGGCCAGCATTGCGAGCACCCAGGCCAACGTGCAACTCGTGGTCTACAATCGCATTCCACATTACCAAGCGAGGTACATATCGTGAAATGAGTTGGTACCTCGTGGCCAGCCAACATGAACGTCATGACGTGGGTTCGAGCTTCCTCTGCCGACACGGTGTGCTCACCGTCGAGCATTAGGTCTAGCAAATCCTTGGACGCAGACGGCGCCGTGGGAGTCTTCAACTTGGTCGCAATGACGTTGTCGACGGCCTCGTACAGCATTCGCTTTGCTTGGCGACGTCGAATCAGGCGAGGCAGTGGCCAGCTGCGGAAGCCTGGAATGAGGAGGGCCCCGACGAAGTGAAGGAGGTCGTGGGGTTCGTTCATAACTTTGTACGCCTCGATCACCCGTTCGTTCTCGTTCTTGAGCGAACCAAACTTGTAGCCGAACGCCGCGACGCCGATGATGTCGAGCGACATCTTTGTCAACACTACAACCCCCCACGGTTTTGCAAAGCTGATCTCACGACCGAGTGAGTAGAGATTTACGTACTCTCCAGCATGTCCACGGGAGTGCCAGCATCCACAACGGGCGTCAAATGGCTGACCAGGTGCTGCGTGTGGTCGGCAAAAATGTTGATAAATTCCTTGACCTTGGCATGTGTGAAGAGCGGAGTCAGCATCTTGCGCTGATGGTGGTGGGTCTCGCCCTCCGTGCTGAGCAGGCCATCGCCTCCAGTGAGGTCCTACCCGTCGTTGGAGGTCATGCACCCACGACTGAATCGCTCTGTACCCGAAGGTTCCCCCGAACAGCAAAGTCGCGGGGGTAGTTGTCTGCATTCGTGACGAATACGTGTTTGAGTGCTTCAGGGTCGGTGAGAAGGACGCGATGGCCCAGTGAATAGCGGAAATGCACGGCGCCGCCAAACTTTTTGACCCTGTCGTAATCCTTAGCCATGGCGCAACGAATGCAAGTTGTTACCAAGAGAGGGCGGGCTCCGGGTAGTGTCCATCGCTCCACTTCGTATCCATAATCTCCTTCAAGGATCCGTAGAGCCAATGCGTTGGCTTAGGTCCAGGAATGGCTTTCAGCGCGTCGAACCGTGTATTGAAGAAGAGGTAGTGCGCTACCATCCCGCCCACGACGGGCAGAGCGATGACAAGGCCGTATATCACAGGGTTTGCCACGGCAAGGTCGATCAGGATCTGGGAGATTTGCATGGCGGGTGCTCGAGTGGACTTTGCCTTGCAAAAGGAGGACTTGACCCAAGACGATCAACTACCTCGTGCGCGACAACAAGCGAGTGAACTCGAGAAAATCTCGCTAGCGTTGTCCCATGAACCGCCTGATCAGGAAATATTCCACAAAATTGAAAGCAAAAGAGCATCTTAGCCTATAATTGGCCAAATATAATGACCGAGAAATGACCTCTGATTGGATCACACTAGGCTCAGTCCATATAATCATATCCATTTGAGTGGAGCTATCTGATTGGATGATAAGACACTACGTCCAACGACCCCTCACGGGCGCCGTCCGCACTGAGACACAGTTTAATCCAAATGTTCAGCTCCTGTTGTGGCGCTTGGAGGTCTATTGTGTTTTCGTTCAAAAAGAGACTCAAAACGATCGAACGAACCATGAAATCCTGGGCGTGGTGCTGAATCTTTGGACAACGCAATTCCGCGAGATTCCCAGCGCTGAAGTGGTACGGTTACCTCCAACCTCCTTCTTGAATAGAAAATGTATGGATGAATGTATGGGCATCACACGATTTGGGAACTCGGCAGCCAACTTCTCTGCAGTCGCTTGTCCCTTCTCAATTGCAGAAACGTGTCACATTGTCGTGATGGGGACCCCATGCGAATCCTTCACTCCTCGCACACAACGATCGGACAAGGCCACCTCACCTTTTGCTAGCTTATCTGTGGATGCATCCTCGGGCTGTCAGTGTTTGCGACCTGTGGAGGTCTGGTCACTTCAATTGGAACCACTTCTGTTGTGATCAAGGTGAAAAACAGCATATTTTCTGAGAGCTGGTTGTGGATTCATGTCGCATTTGATTGGGTTCCAGCACCCACGATGGTCTGGCGATTGCGGTCATGGGTGCGCCTCAATGTATACAAACTTCAAAATACTTGCGACGGCAAGCTTTTCTCAAGCCACATGCATCCGCACGCAGAGTGCTCATGTTGGGGTCCATTATTTGCATTTTATATGCAACTTTCAAGGAAATGTACGTTGTACGTTGACAGACCAAAGATGTCAAGAGCATATTCATTCATTAGATTGCATCGAACAATCCTCACTCAGACATATCTCGCGATCCGTGAGGACCGGAGGGGACGACGCGAATGTTGTCAAAAACGAATGTTTCTCGAGTCCATCGCGGGATAAATCCGATTGCGATTGCATCCCTTGAGGATTCGTCAAGACTTCGATGGTGGAGAGAGCACATTGTGCGAGATATTTTCTTGCCAACATCGTGAGAATGGTGCGCTGCCACACGGGGCACACTTGGGGACGCCCAGTGCCGAAACTTGGCGACAAGCATCCCCGACGCCCAAGGGGATCTGTGTCTCCTTCATGTACAATTTCTTTTGTTTGTACATTTGATGCTCGGATGGTATGGATTTCGACTTTGACTCGTGCAAGCCGGGGGGAACGGGACGTGATGCTAAAGTTTGACGTACGACGATTCGACCGCTACTTCAAACTGACGAAACGAGCCATGACGTCGATCTTTCTCGTCCAGGCGATCTTTGCGATGCGAGTTCCTGGTTGCTCTGCCTCGAGTCCCGTTGGACGAGCCATCATAACAAAAGAAATAAGCATGATTCGACGGGGACGCAGTCGATGCGTCGGATCTACACGGTCGGCGCCTTGTGGACCGTCATGACCAAGTTGACGGGCTTGATCGACACACTTTCCTGCTTTGGGTTCAAGTCTGCGGCGTCGGTCACGTGGAATGAATAGTTGAGCAGCAAGTTTGACACGACGACTTGCAATTCTGCTGTCGCGAACCGCATCCCGATGCAGTTTTTCGCGCCAGCGCTGAACGGCATGTAATAGTACGTGTTGCCTTGGCCATGGCGCAATGCTTTGTCCGCGGCAAACACGTCCGACCCTTCCATGAACCGCTCTACATGACCATAACATGAGCAACGTGGGGGTTCGAAACGTGCTCAGCACCGGGAATGAACTCGTCGGGACGGCTCCAGTACGTAGGGTTGCGATGCAGCGCCCCCGTGTTGACAGAAATCGTCGTGCCCTACACGAAAAACGTTCAACACGGTGCAGTTTCCAGCGTCCAAGTGTACCTTGGGCACAAAGTGGGGCTTGCCTCGGACCATGGGCAAAAAGTCATCGCGCAAGGTGTCGCGGGTGGCCAAGTTTGCAATCGTTGGGTACAGCCGCAGCGTTTCTTGGATGAACGCCGTGACGTACTTTAGATCTCCGAGAACTTTCCATTCGATCTTGCCGTTGTGGGCAGCCACGACTGCGCGGCACTCGGCGCGAGCCTTGGCTTCCATGTCAGGGTGCTTGGTAAACATGGCAAAGACCCAGCACAGCGTACTGCTTGTTGTCTATACGTGCACAGTCTTAGCCATCGAACAACAAGACGGAATCTCCGATTCGACCTCGTGGCCCGCGGTCAGGAACGTCATGACGTGTGTGCGCGCTTCCTCGGCGGTGATCTTGTGGTCCGTTTGGGATTCTTCGTCCAACATGAGGTCGACAAGGTCGGTCGCGTCGGCGGCGGATCGTGGAGCTTTCAGTTTGGCAGATATGACGTCATCAACCGTTTGAAACAACATGCGCTTGGCCTCCTTGCGCTGTTGAATCGCTTTCAGTGGCAGCTGATCAAAGAAGGGCAAGTAGATCCGTCCAAGGCCATAAAAGAGCGACGGCGGCTGGTTCATCATCTTGTACGCCGCCATCACTCGCTCGTTCTGGTTGGTGAGCGACCCAAAGTTGTACCCAAACGCTGACAGACCGATGATGTCCAGCGTCAGCTTCGTGAATACTGCAAGGAAGAAGGGAATAAGGACTACGTTCATGCGTCCAATTGTGCAGAACGTACAGTCGTGCATGTCCACAGGGGTGTTCGTGTCGACGACCGGATCGAGTTGCGCGCTGAGGTTTTGCGTTTGCAGCGCAAAGATGTCGATGAATTGTCGTACTTTGGCAAATCCAAAATGTGGCATCAACATCTTGCGCATGTGGGTATGGGACGCGCCCTCCGAGCTCAGCAATCCGTCGCCTCCGATTAGATCCTACGAGTTTCGATGAGTATACCTTTGGGACGCGGTCAGCCGACACACACGAAGAAACGTGCGGGTCTCCTTGGAGCGGGGGTAATTGTCAGCGTTCGTGTTGAACACGTGCTTGAGTGCGTCGGGGTCGGTGATGAGTACCTACACAGACGAACGTGACTCTACAATCCCCCGTAGATGCCTGCGCAACGACGTACCCGATGGTTGAGGAACGCTCGGTAATGCACCGCACCGCCAAACTTTTTGACCCTTTTCAACACAATCGAGTCAATGGTACAACTTTGATCGACTGTTCGTACCAGGAGAGGGCAGGCTCCGGGAAGTGTCCTTTGCTCCACTTCGTATCAATGATTTCCTTGAGCGAACCAAACAACCAGTGCGACGATTTGGGGCCAGGGATCGCGTTCAGCGGGCTCAAAGCCGGCTTGATCGAGAAGAGGTAGACGAGAAGGCCACCCACGAACGACATGAGCCCGAATACGCCGACAACGGTCGGGTAATTGATCGCCGTCGAAAGCAAGTTGGTCATCGCGAGCGAGGAAATTCAAAACTGGGTGAAACGTCGCGCCGACAACGGGACGGAATGTTGGTCGGGATGCATCGTAATCATGGGTATAGTGAAAACAAGTCAACGGGACGTTTACGTTGCCGCCGGCAACATCCCAATGTCCATGATGAGTACGACAGGCTGGCGCCGTATACACTGTCCTAGCTGCATGCGTACCTCGCGACAGAGTTTGCCACGGAGGCACCGGTGCTACCTAACCACGTGCTGGCTGGCAGTGTGGCATGCATGAATGCCCAGGACCTTCGTGCAAGGCATCTCGGGAGGATGCGAGTACATGACATCGTGTGTTTTGCGCTGGGTATCTTGTGGCGGCCAGTTAAGACGTCACAAAACCCACGATGAGTTCCAGCCCCAATACGAATCGTATTCGCCCATGCAACGGTGTCCCCTTTGTAGAACGCCAGTAAGGAGGGTGCTGAGGCGGCCAAGTCGTATTAAGTGGGAGCGACATTTCGTTCTGGGGGTAACTGTACACAACGACGCCCCTGGACTGCGTGCACGGCGAATCTGTTGCATCGTGCACGTGTCAAGGATGACTGAGCTTCCCCCCTGCCGCTTCCGTCTCGCGCCCGCCGTTCTACGCCAGCGCCTTGGGCGGGTCGGGACGATTCGCGCGGAAAATGGGCCAATCAACGACGTGTATTGTCGTTCGGGATACCGAGTGCATTTTTTCACTTATACATTAAACGATGGAAGAACATGTGAAGCGCGCGCGGACGACCGACGCGAGTGCCACGAGCACGACGAGTCTGTGGAGTTCGAGCATCCCAACGACATGTCAGCTGAGGTCAGTTGGACTCGAAGGCAAGGCGGAAGCGCTCGCGACGGCACGGTCGTCGTGGTGTGCTGACATGACACAATGGCGCGACCAAGCATTCGAACATGTCGAGGCGCGGGAATCAAGGAGACACGTGCAACAAAAGCAAAGAGCGTTTCGACGGCAGATGCTTTGCTTGAATGGATCCAGTTAGAGCATTGCTCTCGTTCGAGTTGTCCAGTCTAGCCAGTGCTGCCGACTCGGGACAAGGAGCGCTATCGACCAGTCCGACGGCTCAACTCGCACAGGAGTCTAATTCATCACGTATGGTTCTCGTCAAACATCTCAAACCTGGCGCCATCGAAGTACGTCGCGCAGAGATGACTTCAAGACCAAGATGGCGGTGGTCGACTGCTGCTTATCGGTGGATATATTTATCCTCACATATTTTCCGATTTTTTTTTCGACATAAAGTTTTCGTATTGCAAAATTCCTAGGAATTTTCCGGATAGTTTGAGGCCACTTCTTGTAATTCTAGATTTCGACCATCGACGCGCCGATGAATGCGCAGGTGCAGCAGCAGCTCCTCGACGCTGTGGGAAACCAAGTGCTGGAGTCGCTTCAAGCACAAGAAGAAAGGCTTGATGCAGAGATCAAACAGCTCGAAAGGATTGAGGAGGACGACATGGACAAGCTGCGTGAGCGCCGGTTGCGCGCCATGAAGGCAGCTGCGATGCAGAAGCAGGCATGGAAGAACGCAGGTCACGGAACATACTCAGAGCTGTCGAACCAGCAAGAGTTCTTTGACGTGATCAAGGAAAGCGAATGCGTCGTCTTGCATTTCTACAACGCCACGAACGCATACTGCCCCATCATGGACAAGCATCTGACGACTCTGGCCGAGTCGCACTTGGAGACCCGCTTTTGCCGCATGAATGCTGAAAAAGCCGACTACCTTGTCCAGAAACTCGGGATTTGGATGATTCCGTGTGTTGCTCTCATCAAGAACAAGAGCGTCGTGCACATGCTCCAAGGGCTCGATGAACTCGGCGGCACCGATGCGTTTAGCACCCACTTCCTCGCGTACTTTCTCTCGACCAAGAACGTGCTCAAGTTTGACGGGTCGCCGCCAGAGAGCGTCACAGACACTGGTGTGGACGCGCCCAAGCCCGCGGGTCCTATCAAGCAATCTGTCTTTGATTACAACAGCGACGACGACGACTACGACTGATTTTCACACAATAAAACATTGAGCGCATCTACATCGATCTTGATGAAACTTTACGCATCCTTACTTCCATTGGGAGGCATGGTTTCCACCGCAACTCTACGGCTGAACACTGGAGGTGCACGGAACGGCCTTAAACTGCGCTGTTTGTCCAGTAGCGAATGACCAGCGCCTGCTTCCTCCATCGGATGGTAGCACCCCGGCCATGCTGTGTCTGTCAGGAATACGAGTTGCCTGCATTGGTGCATGCACGATTCTCCGACACCGAGCTGCCCGCCTCTCTCAAGCTCAACCTTTCACTCGACTGCGTTTTCCATCGCGCACTGCAAACAAATTGCCACGCTTCCATACAGCACTGGCCTCGATGACAGGTCGAGCTAAGAGTGACCTGGATGCGCCAGGAAGATGCGCTTGGATAACGTTACAACGACTTTTCATTCTCGTAGTCGATGAGGCGTTGGATGAGATCGGCTTTCTGGCCTTGGATCGACAAGCCCCGCTCTTTAAGGTAGTCCTTGAGCACGTTCGGTTTGAGGGCCTTGATGGCACGCGCATCCAAAGCCTCTTCGTCGCCGCCCTTCACCGTCATCTTAGCGGCCTTCTTCGCCAGTTCTGCAGCAGCTTCTTCTTCTTGCTTTTTGCGAAGGGCGGCCTCTTCGCGACGCTTCTTGACTTCTTCCAATCGGCGAATGTCGCGCTTAGCCTCGTCCTAATGCAAAAGTGTCAATACCGAGGCATCGCCCACGAAGCGTACGGTTTGGCCAGCCAAGTGGCGCTTCATATAGTTGGCAGCCTTTGCTTCCTTCTCAAGCGTTTCACGTTCTCGTCGGGTCAGCGGTTGTGCTTCAGCATTTGGGTCGATATCCTTGGCCTTGATGGCCTTGTTGGAGGCAGGTGCAAAGTTGGGGTTCTGCACCTGGATGATACCGGCAACGCCTTTAGGCTTTGACACTCTCTTTTCTTCAAGCTCTTCTTCCTTTTCTTCCACGGCACGGTCAAACATAACGCCATCGTCGTCGTCGTCCTCATCGTCGTCTCCCGAATCGCCATCATCTCGTCGGACACGGCGCTTCTCTTGCCGCACTTCCTCCACAACATTTCGCGCTTCAAGTTCCTCCGCACTCGTGACAAACTTGCGGTTCCCGCCCTTGAGCGAGTTGCGCTTCGACGACTTGGCCTTCTTGGCCGCGGCATCGCCTTTTCCACTCATCGTTCAATTCCAATGTGCAGAGAACATGGACATACCTCTGAAAACTAATAATTTGTCCCCGTTCCACCAGTGAGAACGAACCATTGCCACTTGATATTTCCATGGTACGAAGCATTTTCTTGAATGTATGTGTGCAAGGAATGATGGTCAAGGACGGCGTTTCGGGGTTGTGGTGACCGAAGATGTCAGCAAACATCGAGTGGGTTTCAAACGATGCGCCGACGCCGCGAGGACTTCCTTGCTGTAAATGCAAGGAGCAGATTTAGTGTACCCTTTTTAACGTTTTAATGCTGGAAGCAACTGTATGGGGTGAGTGCCTGCAACAAACGTCAACCCACGCACTGGTGCTACTACACCTTCAGACGCTGAGATACACCATGTCATTTTAGGCGCGACTCATCATTTAGAGCAGTCAAAAATATGGTAAGAGTGCAAGACTGTCCAACTGTTGAACCGTGTTAGGGAGCACCAGCGCACAACAGTACACATTTTCGGAAGTGACCGATCGAGTGTGTTGCAGGCTCAACGACCGCGGCACGCCCCGCCTCCATTGTCTTGCCGCGTTCATTTACAATCACATTAATCCGTCACGGCGACCAAGTGAAACAGGCCCTGATACCCGACGGAAAAGGTCGCTGGTTCAATAGCGATGTGTCCATTCGTACTTCGCGCCATGTGGACTGTCGTCGAAGTTGACACTGCCTTCGATAACGTCAATGAAATCGACATGACGTACAGCCCCGAGCGGTACGCACCGTCCTCCACTCCCATGGCGCAGTTCCATGCTTTGTCGACACCGTTTCCAAGTGTTCGAGTCGGCTCCACATTTGGCCACAGCAATCTGCATCATCTCAGCCTGCTGGAGGATGAGTCGCTGGCGGCAATCTCTACGTTCGACAGCAGTGCCATTGCAACTTGAGAGAGATGAGGTACACGTTCATGCTTGGAACGATTCGTCGGGCTGGAATGACCACGCTGTGCAAGCGCGCCTGACTACCCTCGAGCGCCTCTACAGCGTTAGCGCCAGCGCCCATCCCGGCAATGGACCATTCTTGCTCGGCGATGTGCTCCATGTGGCCGAGAAGTCGATCTCCTGGCGCACTCCAAGCATTACAACTCTCTGGCCTACTCTCCACTGTTCCAAAGCGCGCTCATCGCCATGAGCTCGCCCAGGTTTCCAACTCACTGTGCGTGAAGGCGCGCTTAACAACCAAGGCAGTGCCTCGCTCTCTGTCCAGTCGTGAAAGGGCGGGCATGGCGTCTCGAAATCACTTTCTCTTTCACGGCAATCTGCATGCGTAGGCAATTAATTCTTGCTTGCCGTGAAAGCTGTACTGATCCTCGTGATGCCATTGGCCAACAAGTAGCCAATCCAATTGCTCTACTTGGCCACATGAGTTTTATCCACCAATCACAGCGATGCTTTGCCATCCAAAACTAATTTGGACGAGTGTGTTGGCTGCCCCGATGCCATTCCACAACCTTCCCTGCAGAAGCAAGTCCAAGCAACCATGCCTGACTTTGTCCCCTCGTACCCATCGGTCGACTACGCTTCGATGTCGGCTGAGAAACTGGCTGCGTACCATGACCCGTCCAACGACGGCACCGTATACCTGTTCAACAACATCGTGTGCCCCTTTGGCCATCGCGCGTTGTGGACCGCGGTGGAAATCAACGCGCCATTTCACGTAGTTGAAGTGTCGCTCAAGAGCAAACCTGCGTCGTATAGCGAAATGTTTAACCGATACGGCACGGTGCCGTATTTGTTGGACAATGGTTTCGCTGTCTACGAGTCGGCGATAATCGCGCAGTATTTGGACTTCAAGTTTAACAATGGCGAGTTGCACCGCTCCAACGACCCCCAGGCTGCGTCGCTGGCGCAGCTTGCCGTCGCTAAATTTGAAGCCAAACCGTTCTACGTGTTCCTCCGCACGGGCGACGCAAGGCGGAAGCCGAAGTTCGCGAAATCCTCGCGGAACTCGAGACGATTTACACCAACCACGCCAAGGCATACCGCGACCAAGGTCCGTACTTGCTCGGGGCCAACCTGAGCAGTGCAGAAATCAACCTTGTCCCTTTCTTCTTTCGCTTCGACGTGCTCTTGACCCACTATCACAAGGTGGACGTGTTCACCGATATCCCGCACTTGAAGGCCGCGTTGGCCGCTGCCGTGGGTCGCCCGGCCTTTCAACAAACGGTCCGAGAGCCGCAGTATTACATTGATGCGTACTCTACTTATGTCAACCCTGCGCCTCCCGCCGATTCGTAATACACTTCATTGACCAGTGTTCGCTCCCCCGTCAAGTCCATCATGTCGCCACATACCCACCAAAATGCTTCCAGGTAGCCATAGACTCATCGAACGGACGACAGTCCATGGACGCCCACTTGGCCAACCAGGCAACAACCAGTCCACTCGGTTATTTGTCGACTCTATGCCATCCTGCACTTCGTCCACCTGGCAAACTCCGCTCAACTACAGAGCTCAGCATGCCAAAGACATCCCACGTCGGGCGTGTTGGCCCTCATGTCCACCTCTCATGCTTGCTTTTCCAACGTCTTTATGCCTCCAATGGTCTAGCGAATCGTCCGCTCTCGTAAAAAAATATGTAGGCCGGGCCAAGCCTTTGATTGGCTAAACATCCGCCAATCACAATCCGTCTTGACGCTGCATCAAACCAACTTGGTCTTCCCAAAGTCATGCCATGCAGCAATTTTGCATTTGCATCGTTCCGCCAACACCCCTTCCCCATGGCCTGTTCCACGGACCACATCCCTACGTACCCATGGGTGGACTACGCGTCGCTCTCGGATGAACAACTGGATGCCCTCCACAAGTCGCCCAATCTCTACCTCTTTAGCAACATCAACTGTCCGTATGCCCAGCGAGCGCTTTGGACGGCGCTGGAAGTGAACGCTCCATGCAGAGTCGTCGAAGTGTCGTTAGCCAACCAGCCTGACAGCTACGGCCAGAAGTTTAATCGATTCGAAACGGTGCCGTTCCTCCTGGACAATGGATTTCCTGTGTACGAGTCGGCGATTGTGGCAAATTGCTTGGACGCCAAGTACAACAATGGCCGATTGCAACGTAAGGACGACGTCCAGGCTTCAACGGTGGCGCAACTCGTTATCGCCAAGTTCGACGCGCTTCCTTGGTATCAGTACCTCCGCACGGGAGACGAAAAGGCAAAAGTTGAAGGCAAAGAAAACCTCCAGGTGGTCGAAACCATTTTCACCGTCAACGCCAAAGCATACAGTGAACACGGCCCGTACCTGCTTGGCGCCGACTTGAGCAGCGCCGAAATCAACTTGTTTCCGTTCTTCTACCGCCTTGAGATCCTCCTTGGTCACTATCGGCAACTCGACTTTTTGGCCGACTACCCGACCCTGAAGGCCGCATTCGACGCTGCAAAGTCCCGCAAGGCGTTCCAGCAAACGATTCGCGTGCCCGAGTACCATATCCAGCAGTTCGCGCCCCATTTCAATCCCACGCCATAAATTTGTTATGTACCACCGGATTGTATTCCACAGCACCGATGGATGCCACCCACCTTTCTTGATACGTCAGGCGCTCGGTGACACAAGGTGGCAAGATTGAGTGAGCCCAACATCCCCTTGACACAATGCCATGGAGCTCGAGGCGATGCATTTATGTCCTGCACGTATCAACTACACAACCAAGTTTGAGGGTGGCTTCGAGTGAAGTCTCTTGTCTGCTCAAAAGGCACTCAGAAGTACAAACTCCGTCGGTAACACAACTCTGTCGGACCCTTATTTTCGGGCTATGACACGGCAGTGCGTTTTCTCGATCATCCTATGCACGGTAGAAAATTCCTATAACAAGCTGTCTTCGTAACGTCCACCGAGGTGACAGCATCGTGACGCTGCTATCTGTGCACACCTCACAACATTCCCTTGGCGCGGAGCATGGAAAGGAATGCGGGGGGGGGCAAGCAATGAGCTGAACGCTGCGAGAACGACGGCGTGGGTGGCCGTCCCCTGTTCGATCACTGCACCATCGACGGTGCTGTACATTGGCCCCTAGCTGTTGGACGGCACTATGCGGAGGAGGTCGTAGCACGTCCTGCGAATGCTCCTGATATCGTTCCTGTGGATTCCACTTACATGCTAAGAGACCGGTAGATTTCATTTCAGAAGAATTTCCATCATGACCGACCGCCATCGCAACAAGAATTCGTACGCGACCATGGATGACATGACCCTGACGATACCTTCACCCAACTTCTATGCAAGTTGCACTCCTGTGCCGTGTGTTCATATGCCCACCGCACGCTGTGGACAGCCCTCGAAGTAATAGCCCTAGTCAATGAGGTCGTCTTGACGTCGACGCATTCAACCTTCGCCGTAGGGCCACCAAGGGACCAGTACGGCACCGTTCCCCGTTTGAGCCACCACGGCACGTACTGGCAAGTACTTGGATGCCACATTCGGCCATAGACCACTGGGACACCGGACGACACGTTGAAATCGACTTACCACTTCACCATTTTCACGTTGAAATCGACTTACCACTGCACCATTTTCTGTGGTGGGCCGCGTGAGGTCGATGCATCTCGTCTAGAGAATCGCCGATGTCTATGGCTCGCCCGAGCTCATAACTCGATAGACGGACGAGCGACTTTGACCTCACTGGATGGACCCGGAGACACTGGGCCGAGCCGACGTCGCCACGACCTTTCCAAGGACGGATCGTTTGTACTTATGTCTGCGTCGCCGCCACCAACCTCGTTCCAGTGCTTTTCCATTAGGAGGCGCTCCAGGCGACGCATGATAAATCGCACACGTTGTTGGCCGACATTTCCCTGCTCTAGGTTGCACAGGACACGGCGAAAGACAACCACTATATTCGAACAAACTATCCGCGGCCCCGACTATAACATTCAAAGGGATGTCTCAATCGCCGCCCAAGCTCCATCATCATAGTCCCCACTCGATCGATTCCACCCGAAAATACTGGAAACGAAGTAATGGTTTCTCTTGGGATCCAAGGCAAACTGCACATGACTCTGGAGCACAGGCTTCGCTACTTGGGTCGTCCCCGCTGCTGGCGATTCCCACCGAGCAGCCCGTTGCCTCTACACGACGAACTAGATGACAGTTCCATGGACTCTGTAGGCGCCGCGCGAGTACTTTGGGAGAGCGCATCTCGCGTTTTGAACGGGATGGAGGAGTCTGTACTCGATCACGAAACTCACCGCTGAGCTTGATCGATCGGGCCCGGATACACAGCAACATGTCGCTGTAGTATAAGAGCGGTTCGTTGGTTCAGCCATAGAGTACATGGATATGCTTAGCAAGTTAGTTGGGACGACTGGTTATAGCAGGGTCTGCTTGACGGCGTGCAGATCATCGATGGAGGAGTCGTCTTCGGATCGCGCCCGATCCCCAGTCGACAGCACGACGATCCCAGTCAGGATAAGCCCAATGCCAGCTCCGTACACGATCCAGTGCCACATGCTCAGGTCCTTCATATCGCCAAAGAAACAAATGCCCGAGACAGCGCCACCCATCATGAGCGTTGCTTCGTAAATGTAAATCACGAACAACGCCTCGTACAGATGCAGCGCCATGTTCATCAGGTACAGTCCGGACACGGCAAAGCCGACGGCCGCCAGGGCGACACCATACACCAAAGGCGTCATGAACACCACCTACATCAATACGAGTCAGCATTCCGTTATAGCAGACCGCCAATCAAGCCGAACGCGGCATGTCCTGACCAACCCATACGACTCCAAATGACCGAAACGGACTGGATGTGTACCCGTGGATCATTGTGCGTGAGCCGCAACAGCGCACACATGCAGAAGAGCTGACCGCTGATACTGCCAGCCATAGATGCGAGACTAACTCGGCAGCAAGTCGTTTTGTGCGGGGCTTCTGCAGTGTCCGAGGAGCTCCCTTCGCCGCAGCGGGAGCGATACCCCCATGCTTGGAAGAAGGCGGGAGCGGCGCAACGCAACAAACCCATCATCAAGACGACGTACGTTATGATGTACGTGAGGAATGAAGCGGAGGTAAAGTGGGACGCCAGTTCGTCGACGGGAATGTCGTGCGTTTGATGGCTGCCAACACCTCCGACAACGACACAGCCAAGAAAGATGACGGTGGCTCCAATCAAGTCCTGGAGATGGGTTAGACCATCGAAATGCAACAACATCACGACGACCTACCCGGGTTCGCAGTGTTTCGTTTAGAATATATGGAGACAAAACAGAATTCCACACGATGCACATGCCACCCATGGGCGCCAGGAGCGACTGCGGCGCAAACTTGTACGCGGCGATGCAAAGTGCAGGATTTACCACCACGATCAAGACCATGCCGCCACCCCACCAGCACCGAGCTTCCGATGACTCTTGAGCCATGCTCCGACGAAAGGACAGCTTGATCATAATCTTCCCCACGACGCCGACAATGGATGCGACGAAGCTTAGGAGCAGCCCGAACGGCCACCCCAGCAGCTCCACCATGTTCCTGTCTGTGATGGGTCGGTTTTGCATGGGAGATGCAATCTCCGGATACAAATATTTATCCGGTATGTAACGAGAATTATATACTACTAGTAGTATATAAATAGATGGATCGACAGTTACAATATTCGGAATGACACCAGACAGGCATCTCGCAGCCGAAAGACGCCATCGGTACGCGGCGCGCACATGCTGGGAACGTCTGTGTGGAGGTCACGGTCAATGTGTTTGTCCACCAGATAGTGTCTCGTTGGCCCTGTTCACGAACGGGGGAGCATAGGAGCAAATGTCCAAACGAACCAGCACATGCACCATGGCACAGCTCAATGGTTTCCACCTGCACATACGTTTCAAGAGCATGAGTATGAGGCTGACGCCGTAGGCCTGACAATGGTATCATGCCATAACCTGATCAAGTGAGAGTGGGTATGGTGGATATGCACACGTCCCGTTCGCGGCTACAAAGGATGGAAAACGGTAGCTAGAGTTGGCGAAGCCCACGAGCTGCATTCAGATACCCGAAATGCCATCCAAGACCATGAGCATTCGCGTTTCACCAACAAAATCTAGGGCTACTTGTCCCAAGGTTTGGCCTGCACTGGCACGGATACCTTTTGATGAGACCACTTCAAGGTTGCGCTCGTCATGGTCCAGTGGGAGGACCATCTATATTTTTCACAACCACGCTTCAGCGGAGCATAGTGTGGCGGATATTGTAAGTAAGACCACTATTTCAGCATTTCAAAGCGCAAATTATCCTAATACATCACAGTGACAATGGATTGAATATCGCTACTAATGGTACGCAGTCAAAATAGAATTTTTACTGAAAATATAGCCTTTAGAATATACGCAATTCAACACCTTACCGCCAACTCATCTCCGAGCGACTTGAGCTTGACACGATGTGATGTTGGTGCAATCGGATTGGTGCATTTTTACCCTACAAAGCGTTTGGCCAAACAAATGAGATACGTTTTAAGGGAAATTTTGAATCCAATTGTTGAGTATCCCAGCATCGGGGAAATTCCTGTATGCTGATTGGCTGATGTGCATGAAAGAGGGGAATTCTGTTTGTGCAACCATTCGTGTTGGTCCACGAATGTGCGATCCTTGGACATGTTTCCATTTTCACATATTGCGAGCGCAGCCAAGATGTTGACCGCCGCCCGACGAGCTTCCCACCGTGTGGCTGCGTCCAAGGCACCCCGTCGCACCTTCTCGTCCACCACTGCCATCCCGCAAGACAAGGAGCGTTTGATCATCTTTGACACGACCCTGCGCGACGGCGAACAGTCCCCTGGCGCCACGATGAGCTTCAAGGAAAAACTGCACATTGCCAAAGGCCTCCACGGGATGGGCGTTGACGTGTGCGAAGCGGGGTTCCCGATCGCGTCTCCAGGTGACTTTGACGCGGTGTCCGCGATCGCCCAAGAAATCGGGCCGCTGTCTCGTCCTTCGAACCCAGACTTTATGACGATTTGTGGGTTGGCACGCGCGACGGCGAAGGACATTCAGCGGTGCTACGACGCTGTCAAGCACGCACCGAACCACCGCATTCATCTGTTCCTTGCCACGTCCGACATCCACCTCAAGTACAAGCTCAAGATCTCACGAGACGAATGCATTCGTCGTGCCGTCGAGGCAGTGCAATTTGCCGCGTCGTTGAGTCCACAAGTGGAGTTTTCGCCCGAAGACGCTGGACGGAGCGATCCGGACTTCCTCTGCGATGTGCTTGCCGAAGTGATTGCGGCTGGCGCGACAACGCTCAACATCCCCGACACCGTCGGATACACCGTGCCTGACGAGTACGGTGCGTTGATTGGTTACTTGATCAAGAACACACGTGGCGCGGACAAGGCCGTGTTTTCAACGCATTGCCACAATGACTTGGGGCTCGCGACGGCCAACACGCTGGCGGGTGTGCTGAACGGCGCGCGCCAGGCCGAAGTCACGATGAATGGTATCGGCGAACGCGCCGGGAATACGTCGCTTGAGGAGCTCGTGATGACTTTGAAGACTCGTCCGCACTTGTACCCCGTGGCGTCGCACATCGAATCGACGCACATCATGAAATGCAGCCGGATGGTCAGCCACTACACTGGCATTGCGATCCAGCCGAACAAGGCGATTGTGGGCGCCAACGCGTTCGCGCACGAGAGCGGCATCCATCAGGACGGCGTGCTCAAACACCAAGCCACGTACGAGATCATGCTGCCCGAATCTGTCGGTCTCACGGAGAATCGCATGGTGCTCGGCAAGCACTCGGGGCGCCACGCGTACAGCAAGCGCCTGGCCGAGCTCGGATATGCAGACTTGACGACGGAACAGCTCGACCATTTCGTTGAAAAGTTCAAAGTGTTGGCGGATGAAAAGAAGTGTGTCACTGACGCCGACATGGAAGCGATCGTGAACGACGATTTGTTCAAGCCCGAGATCTACTGGACGCTGGACGCGGTCCACGTGACTGCCGGCAACCTCGTCAAACCCACAGCAACCGTCACAGTTACCTTCAAGGACGGGTCGGAGGTGTCGGAGGCGGCCATGGGCAGCGGCCCCATCGACGCCATGTTTTCCGCCATTGCCCGTGCAACCAGGTGCGGCGAACTCAAGCTCAACGAGTACACGGTCGAAAGCATCACGGACGGCACGGGCGCCCTCGGCGAAGTCACGGTTCGTGTGAGTGAGTTTGATACAAACCAAGCCGCCGATGGGTTGAACCCTCAGACTGGCATGAGCCGACGACGGCAGTATGTTGGCCACGGTGCGAACACCGACATCTTGGTCGCGTCTGCTACTGCGTACGTGAATGCTGTGAACCGAGTGCTTGGTGCTCGTGAACAAGCGCAAAAGCGACAAGAAGCCAAACGAATAGCCGCCGATTCTGCTTTGCCGATGGTCGAAGGCCAGGGTATGATCGCCACCATGTAAGAAAATTTTCGTTGTTGTGTGGCAATTCACCCAACAAGGAGCGCATTTGTTGCGGGAACTGGTCGAGATGAAGAGAGGTCGTACAGGATTTCGTGGTCGTAGTGATGTGGCCGATGCGTTTGTCCAGCGATTGGCAGCGACATTTGTTGCACCGAGCGGAGGCGAGGACGACATTGTTGAATACTCTTGTGGTGCTGTGATCGAGCGCGGCACTTGCGGACGACATGGATGCCATGAACTGGTTTGTGAAGTGTTCGTACGACGTCAGGCTGTCAACGAAGCAAAGTGAAGCCTTCGCTCATCTCGCACGTGCGATTTGTTGTTGGTGGGATCGAAGTGGGGGGAGACAGAAGGCGCAGCGCCACTTGTGACACTGTGTCGCCTGCCGTACCATGAACTGGAGAGGAAGCCGCCCAGGGTTGCAACCAAATCGTAAAAAGCCGCACGGGAAATTATACGGCGAAATTATACTACTGGTCCACAAAAAGAGTCAGATACTTCTTCTGATTGGCGGCATTTTTCTAATACATCGAGTTGAGGCTATCTAATTGGCTTACAAGAAAGCGCATGATCTCAGCTTTGATTGGCTGTGTTTTGAGCTTTCCAGATCGATTTTGTTGCCAAGTTATGGAGGCGGGAAATCAGTCATTGGTCGCAACGCATATAATCCGGAAAACGTAGGAATATGCGGACAAATTTCTTGGAATCGTAGTGCATACAGCATTGAATTCTCCATATGTTGGCAGGGACTTGAAGGAATCTTTTAAAATAACATACAATTTTGAAGTTATCAAATTCAAAAACATTTTATTGGAAGAAATCCTGGAATTCATAATGCTGCTTGC